TTATACTTTCTGAAGGGTAAATGGTCTTTCTTCTATATTCAGGGAAGTATTCATGGAGAGTTAGGTTCATTAGTATCTAAGGAATATTAGTAGTGGGTGGCATATTGTATGGATGACTGGTTAAGCTCCAATTCAAAAAGATGAGCAGAAACAATTTTGGCTTTAGTCAAAAAGCCAAAGGTTCATTTATGGGCTCTAACCTTTATATGTGACATTAAAAACAGCCTCAAATTTCTTCCACTTTAAATGTGGAATTAAATGTATTTTTATAATATGTTTATTAAGACTGCTGCATAAATTAAATGCAATCTCTCTCTCTCTCTCTCTCTCTCTCTCTCTCTCTCTCTCTCTCACACACACACACACACACACACACACACACAAACAGCCTGATATTTAGCAGGTGTTCCATACACGATAGGCATAGTTCACTGAATAAACTTTATGTCCCAAAGTACAATATTTTCTATGTAATTTGTTAATTATCAATACACTTAAATAATAATCTGTTCTTTGCTATGTATCATACGCTATTCAAATCTAAGCAATGCATGCTTTGGATTCTTTTCCACTGTATGCAATCTCTATTTGCATGTAATTTTTATGAGATTTTCTTTAACCTTTTGTTGGTTTCTTTTCTACCTTTGCTTATATAAAAGTAGGCTTTATAAATACAGCTATGTTATTCACTCTGAGTAAAAAAAAAATTTATACTGTTGCACAATCATTTCAACTAAACTGGACAATATACCCAGCTTAATCAACCACAGATGTTTTCTTATTCTCTTTACATATCAAAATGGCTAACTCATGATTAAAACTCATTCCTCATGAAATAATTGAGTTAATAAATCAAAGCCCCTTTCAGCATGGGTAGTTATTTAAAAATCTTCATTATTAATAAGAAGATTAATAAAAAAGATGATCTGAGATTTCTCCCCATTAAAAGTAAACCTATTTCTTATAATTCTCAGGTTGATACATATTATCTACTCATGAAACATTTTCAGATAGTATGTAACTGACCTTTTGTTATATTTCTAGAATAATTTGCAACTACACAGACACTTGAGTCTGCAATTAAGTATCATCCTGTTAGATACTTATTAGCAATGTTTAACAACCCAGTGTTTAAAAGGAAGAGTTGGGTGTGATAGCACAAGCCTGTAATCCCATATACTCAGAAGTCTAAAGAAGGGAAATTGCAAGTTCCAGGCCAATCTTGGGAATTTAGCAAGACCCTTTCTCAAAAAGCAAAAAGAACTGAAGTACCAACAAAAAATAAATAAAGAAAAAGAAAAAGAATTACACATTAATTATAAAGGGAAAAAATTATTTTCCTGGAAAAGAATTTTCTGAATTAAAAAAAAAAACATATAGACAAGAAGCTTAAACAAATATAACACTTAGTACTATATGGGAACTCATCTGATTGCTATCAGATGCAAAATAAAACTTTTTTTCTGGTAGATAAAAAGGAATAAGAAACAGACAAGGAACAAGCAAATCACTAAGCATAGAATTTCAGAAAGCACCTTGATATCTGCATTAATTGATGCAGAATAATGCCTATGTATACAATGTAAATTTCATTATTCTAATGCTAAGACAGGAAACATGCAGATTAGTTATTCCCATGTAAAATCATTTTAGAACACCATGAAAGTTACCAATAAAATACATTTAAAGTTTGAGTGAATATAATTTCACACACTGAGTTTAATTATGGATTATTTTCTTAAAGTTTGATTAAATTATGGGAAATAAATTTCAAAAAAAAAAGGCCTACTAAATACAGTGTAGAATTAAAGAATTAAAATTCTAAAGCAACCAAAAAGCAATGTGTAATAAAAATTAACCCAATAAGAAACAAAGTTAATGTTTCTTAAAAGGTAAGTTCTAGTTTAAGTTGAAAATCATTAGAATTCACTAATCAAAGAAAAATAAACTTCATATATTTTTGTTAAGTGAAATTTTATTTTTGCACAGTTTATAGACTTGATCATGCTATTAGAAAATCTCACTGACTTTCAAGAAATAATATTAAAATATTTTATAGTAAAGAACTGGAAAACCCTTCCAAAACTTTCTTTTTATGAAAAGCACGTTAGGACATCTTTCTTTATACAGGATGTTACTTTCTGAAACTAAAGTTCCATTTCAGTAAAATTACTATTTTTACATCACAAAGATGACTAAATTAACCCAACTATGAAAATCAAAGTCACTGACACAGATAGCTCAAAGAGCATGCAGAGAAGCTTTTCATAAGTTTGTACAGGGTGGGAGGCCTAGGGTGGCACAGGAGAAACCACACTGCAGAATAGATCTTGGTTTTATTTGGCTCTGTCTTCCAGTTGAATTTGTGTCTTCCCCTGTCTCTGTCAAGTGTACTCAGACTCTTCTATTTTATACCACCAAAATTCTACAGTATCTACAAAGTGAGAAAAAACTGAAAGCAGTTCTGGTTTTCTTTAAAATAATGGCAAAAAAAAAAAAAAAAAAAAAAAAAAAAAAAAAAATTTGTAACTTGCTATTCATCAATGCACTATTTCCAGAATTCTAAGTATTCAAAGCATAAAGTAGGGTAATTTCAGTGAAAATCTAAATACTGTAATTCATAAGGTAACTATTACTTCATATGCTCCTCTCTGTTCTGCTTCATCCTGTCTTCTGGTGTAAGCTTAAGATTCAAATCATTTTTAAAAATGCATTTTCTTTTTCTTTTTCTTTTTGTAGTTACAGATGAAAAGTATGCCTTTATTTTATTTATTTTTTATGTGATGCTGAGGATTCCAGTGCCTCACAAGTGCTAGGCAAGAGCTCTACCACCAAGCTATACAGCTCCCAGCCCCAAAATATGCATTTTCAACCAAATGTATCATCTGCTTCAACAAATTCCTTCCAAATAGGTGAATTTTCATTTAATAGAATAAACGATAAACAATTTCAGAAACAATATACCAAAAGTTTTATTTTGATTGTTAAAAAAATAATAAAACGGAAAGATTATCCTAATCTAGTCCTTTAGGAACAAGAATACCCACCCAATGGGGAAAAAAAAAAAAATTCTGCTGGTTCACTTCTCGGCTACACAACAGCTTCCTTGTCAGGCCATTCCTAGCCTAGTCTTCATAGTTACCTAGTAATCTTATATCGATCGCCTTGACAGACTTGAACTCCAGCGGGTATAGTCTCTATCTTTATATTCTTAGATGGGGAAAATAAGTAAAACCCTAATGAACACCAGGAAAATAGATTATAAGACAAATCTGTATGTGATATATAAATCCCACATCTTCCCGCCCTGTGTTTGGCAGCTGCTAATATTCCCTGCTCCCTTGTAGAAAATGTAAGGGAACCACACCAAAATCCTACATTTGAATCTGAGGACAATGAAGCCCACAGGAAGCTACCCTCTCCTTCCCCGGGTTTACTACAGAGCCTCAGCCTACGCGGGGTGCAAGTCGCCTGGCTGGGTGCGTGACACCACGTCTTCCACGCCCTCCCGACACGTCCAAAAGGCTCCGCGTGTGACCTCCCCTAGCCACCTCACACCCCGAAACCAAACATACAAAAGGGATGGGCACACAGGAAAAAATCCCTTCTCCAGCAGCAACGCAGCCATTGCCTACAAAGCTTCCCCCCCCCACCCCCCATCCTTCGCAAACTGCTACGGCGGAGGGGAGGGCTGCACAAAGAAGGGAGGGACCTGAAAATGATTCAATACACTCAGGGGAAGTGGACACGGTGGCGATGGGCCAGAGAAGGCCAGGGGCCTCAGAACTGGAGGCCGGGGGCAGCGACTGGATGGGGGATGGGAGCCCCGGGTCAGGGGCGGTGGTGCTGCACCGAGCATCCGGGAAGCACCCCCTTGGCAGGCGGCCCCGCATCAGGCTCAGCCGCGGGCCGCGCCCAGAGTCCCTGTCAAGTATCCGAGGAGGAGGAGGAAAAGCCGCTGTAGTGGCTTTGGCGGTGCCGACACCCAGTAGCCCGACGCATCACTTACCCCTCACCGTTGAGAGAGGGACCGGACGGGGGAGGCGGGGCGCGTTGCGTCCCGTGAGTCGCTAGCACGCCGTCCTCCCCCCACCCCGTCGTCGTCGTCGCCGCTGTAGTCGTCGTCGTCGCTGCTGCCGCGGCCGAGCTCCAGGCCCCTCAGCTCCGCAGGGCAATAACGTTATTCTACACACGCCCCACACATAGCGGTAACGGCAAGAGCGGGCGCTTAATGCGCAGGCGCCTCGGGAAAGGGCGAGGAGCCAGGCCCTATCCTCTCAAGCCCTGTCCCAACGATTTCTTACTGCGCAGGCGCTAAGCCCAGACAATGAAAAAGGGTTGTGCAGAGGGTCTCACCCACACTCTTCCCTGGCTGCACAGTGCGCAGGCGTGCCCCTAAGACCAGCTGGAACAATGAAGAGGACCCTGGCAATAGCCCGAGCTGCAACCTACAAGGACTACAGTTCCCAGCCGGCGGTGCGCCAACTCCAAGTGGAGGTCGCGTTGCTAGGCATGCTAGTAGGTGTAGTGTTGGCTGCCAGAACGGAATAGGCAGGAAGTTTTTTGAGGTTCTCCTTCTTGAGGGTGTATTTGACTTTTGGACAATGTGGCAAATGAACAGTGCCCGGAGCTTGTTATCTGCGTACTTGAGAAGGCTGAGGGATCAGCTGCGAGGCGGCACACGTTGAAATGTCAAGGCCTCAGGGGGCCTTTTCAGTCCCTCGGGCAGTCCCGACCTCAGAAGGATAGGGAGGAGGAGGGACTAAACAAGGCTGGGCTAGAGGAAAAGGGCGGAACCTCCGAGTCGGTCTCTTGGCAACCAACGCCGGCAGCCAAATGGTCGAGGTCGGCGCCCAGTGCGCAGTGCCCTCTGGGAGTTGTAGTGTAGTTAGAAGGCTCCTAGGGTTCTCGAAGCGGCGGGCCCTTAGCTGCGAACTACAATTCCCGACATTCGCTATGAAGGACAGTGGGTAGGAAGAGCCCCCGGGACCTCCGTCCGGGGTTCCAAGACTCCCCAGTGACAGCAGCGGCAGGAAGCAGGCGGGCGTTCAGCCGGAGCTAGGCCTATTCTCTGAAGGGAGTGCGCTGGACATTTCCCTGCGTAACTCCCATCTCTGGGCCCAGAGTCTGTGCATGGCGGACTCCCCAGGGAACTCTACCCTGGAGGAAATTCTGGGGCAATATCAACGGAGTCTCAGGGGTGAGTTGCTCCAAACCTCTGTGCCTAGCCCGTAGGTGCCCAGGTCGTTAGTGGGCGGGAGCCGACCTGGTGCCTTTCATAACACCTGGTTTGGGCTCCAGCCAGGCTGCGAAGGAAGAAGACGAATGTTGCTCTGATATTGAGGAGGATGAAATAGTGTGACATTGTTTTTACGGCTAAGCAACCTTGTTTCCTTTGATTTCCGTAGTTACCAGAACCAACAAGGTGGACTGATCTTGACTTGGCATCTTTCTCAGTCAGTGCCAGCAAAAAGTCTTGGACAGCTCCGTCCCTTTTTTGCCCAGTTCCCATGTTTTGATGTTTGATCCAACATATTCCTGATTCACACTTTTTACACATTCAAATAATGGTGTAGTGGGTTGACTGTTACTTATAGGACCAGAGAGAATAAACGTTATTTTAATCACAGTAGCTTCTACTTATTGGTCTAGCCCACTTACATACAGTATCATTTAAAACTTAAAATAATCTTATCTGTGTATCCTTATTTTACACAAGAGGAAATTGAAGCTCAAAAAGTTTAAATTATAGGCCAAAGCCCACACAACAGATTAGTGGCAGAGCCAGATATTAAATTTAGACCTGTCTGCTTTCAAAGCCTGTATTTTTCTTTATTAATCAAGTCATAATTACTGTTATTGAAATCACATTTAACTAATGCATATTTTCTTAGTGCAGTACCTTATGAACAATTACCCTTAGAAGTGTTGTCCATATTTGCAGTTTGTAATCTTACACAATGTCTACAACCTCTGGAAATCTCCGTTCTGTGTTTTGGAAGCTATAGTATTATCTGCACATTTATTATGAGAAGCAAATGAAATAATCCACATAAAGCAATGATTTTCAAACTTTAAAAAAAATGTTACCCCATAGAAAGAAATATATTTTCAGGGTTGGGGATGTGGGTCAGTTGTGGAGGGCTTGCCTGGTATTTATGAGCCCTTTGGTTTCATCCCCAGCACCACATACACGCACAATTATGTGGACATATACATGTAAACAAAAAGAACAATTTCACTAAAGATGCTTTATTCTAGTCGATATAATATACTTTATTTCCTATTCTGTTGAACTTTCAAACCACCTAGGTCATAACTAACATTTACAAAGATACTTAAGGCATTTAGAACCCAATATACTCAGAAAATATTAATTCAGTGCCCCACTATGTGTTAGGCATTCTAGGTGCTGATTTGCAATATGGAACAAGATCAAGTCCCTATCTCTATGGGTCTCTGGATTAGTGGAAAAGAAAGTAAAATAATTATAGATTAGTATAATTGAAATTATAAATATTATATATATATTTTAGTTACTACAATTGAAAATGCAGTAAGGATCAGTGCTTGGCACATTAACTGCTATTTATGTTTGGTACATGGCAGTGAAATGAAGATTTTTCAAGAAGATTAGAAAGTTAATCTTCTCATGACTCTAAGCTTTATAGGGTTATTATTTATTGTCTACATTTGTCAGTAATGCAACAAACTGTCAACATTCTCAAGTATTCAAACTGCAGGAGTAAAGGAATTGGTCTTAATAAATATTTTCATCAGACTACTGGTAGTTTGAAGAGCTATTAGATATTGAAACAGTATTTCATTTGTAAGCAAGAAAAATGTTGTGCACAATGATATGAGTGATTTTATTTGATTTTTTAGATTAGTAAACATTTTCTGTTTTCCATTATGTTTCTTTTAACCTTATTTAAAGGTTTATTATGTTTCTTTTATTATGTTTATTATGTTTTTTTTAACCTCTCCTTTGACCTTATTTTAAAACTTTTTGTAATCCCTGGAGGAATTTAATGTAAGACATTTTGATGCAGTAAAGTGGTTAAATCAAGTTAATTTTACAATAACATCTATAATAGCTTTGGGTTTTTTTCCATAATTATAACAAGGAAGAGTTTTCATTCAAAGATAATGTGTGTGTGGAGAGATTTAACCCAGGTGCACTTGGCTACTTTTCTACCCCCATTTTATCTTATTTTTTTGTTTGGCCTTGCTTTTGTTTTTGTTAATTTTTCTATTTGTTATTTTTAGATGTACATGAAAGTAGAGTATAAGTTGCTTAGGGCCCTGCTAAGTTGCTGAGGATGGGCTTCTCCTCTCTCAGCCTCCCCAGTGATTGAGATTACAGGTGTGTGCTACTGGCCCAGCTGTCAAAGATAATAAATTTTTAAATAAATTTTAATTTTAATAACAATATAAGGATAGTCCAAGCATTTCACTACTACTAAAAAGGGATAGAAAAAAGGTAAACAATTAAAAGTTTTTAGCCATAATTTTAACAATGAATTAAAAATGGAACCTGAATTTTTATTTTTTTTTAATTTTTTATTGTTGGTTGTTCAAAACATTATAAATTTCTTGACATATCATATTCCACATTTTGATTCAAGTGGGTTATGAACTCCCACCTTCACCCCATACACAGATTGCAGAATCACATCAGTTACACATCCATTGATTTACATATTGCCATACTAGTGTCTGTTGTGCTCCGCTGCCTTTCCCATCCTCCACCATCCCCCCTCCCCACCTCTCCCCTCCCCTCCCCTCCTCTCTCTCTACCCCCTCCACTGTATAACCCTGAGGGTCTCCTTCCATTTCCAAGCAATTTCCCTTCTCTCTCCCTTTCCCTCCCACCTCTCATCCCTGTTAAATGTTAATCTTCTTCTCCTGCTCTTCGTCCCTACTCTGTTCTTAGTTTCTCTCCTTATATCAAAGAAGACATTTGGCATTTGTTTTTTAGGGATTGGCTAGCTTCACTTAGCATAATCTGCTCTAGTGCCATCCATTTCCCTGCAAATTCTATGATTTTGTCATTTTTTAATGCAGAGTAATACTCCATTGTGTATAAATGCCACATTTTTTTTTATCCGTTCGTCTATTGAAGGGCATCTAGGTTGGAACCTGAATTTTTAAATGGGTTTGGGATATATTATTTATATAGCATTTTTCTTTTTGTAAGTTTCTAATGTGTAACAGCTTCTAGAAGAAAACAAAACCCTGAATTTAAGCACAATTAAAAATTCTTCACAAGTGTAAACTACCACTTTTAAACAGAATAATTCTCTTTAAAGTAAAATTTTGTGTTTCTAAATAATCAAAGTATGGTGCATTCAGTATATGGAACTTCATTATGTTGAGTGTTCCCAATAATTTAAAAATTCTGTTACCAAAATGTCTTGTCTAATTCATGCTTAATGGAAGGCTAATAATAAAGTGTTGGGAATTTCTTACTGCTTATTCCTGTGATTTTGAAATAACTATATATAATAATTAATAGTATCTTTTCATTTTATTCACGAGAAAGTTACATAAAAATGCAAAATGCTTTTATAATTTTCCATGATAGTAATTCAATTTTCTTATCCTTTGTTCTAATTCTTTACTTTAAATATAATTTGGGCATTATTATGGTATATTAAGTGTTTGGAATACTGATGTGAAAAAGCAGAGACAAAGTTGACTTTCTGGCTTTTAAAATGTTAGTGGAATTCTTACCTCTCTTTGACTCCAGTGATGCTAAAGCATCCATGGAAATAGGAAGCCCATGTACAGACTCCACATTTATCTCTCATCCTTTTCTTTACACTTTTCAGATGTTTTCCCTTTTGAGCCTTCCAAAAATCTCTGTTGTTGTTGTTTGTTTGTTTAAAGATCTTAATTGACTTTGCATTTATAAAATTGGGCAACACTCCGTTCCATAAAATAGATTGTGTCCCCAGATTGCTCTTGCTTTGGTTTGACTGTGACCTTTCTGCAAGAAATTAGAGAAAATAAACTGACTCTCCTTCAAAATGAGAGTCCTGGTAGAAAAACTGGAAACCTTCATTGCCTGACAGATTCCTTTTGGTCATGATCCAGTGTGATAAGAAGTGTACATATTCCTGATATCTTAGCAACCACAAAGTTCAATATAGAATTAGAAGTAATTTGGGAGGTCTTCTGACAGTATGATTATGTGTTCATTTACTCTCTAGATAGACATAATTCAAGATCCACAGAACGATTTAAGAAATACATTTATAATTGGGGAGGATTGCAAATTACCTTCTTCTAATTTAAATTCAAAGAATCATTGTATCAGGTCATACAGTATAAAATATACTAGTTTATAGTCAAGAAAAACCTGAATAAAAGACAACCCATTCTCTGTTTTAAGTTCTGCACACTTTAGCATAGGAACCTGATACTAGAAAGAATAGAAATTGCTAGAACACAGTGTTCTAACCTTAATAATAGAATCATGTCTTACCTATTGCTTCTTTGTTAGGTAATGGGTATAGCTTTATCAACAACACCTATGTTCATGACTCACCTATTCAAGTAGTAAGTACCTAGCCACTTGTGGTTGAATGGATAGGCATAAATGGAAATGAAACAAACTTTTAATGTGACAGGAACACATAGTTTTTATATACATTCTGTATACTAGTTCTTTCTTTCCTTTCAACACTTTGATGTTTCAGCCTCTAGATGGAATTTGTGGCAAAAAGTATGATGGATTCAGAGAAGAGAATGTGTAGCAAGAAAGCAGGTCACTTACATTACTGTTACTTTGCTGATAACCACCTATGTGACCTTGATCTACTTGATTCCATTATCCCAAATGTAGAATTCCTTATAAAAACTAACATCAAGCAACAAATATACCACATATGGTAATTTTGAAGTAATTCTGTTCACAAAATCAAAAACTTGGGACGTAACAGGTTAAACAAGTTCTTAGATTCCTGTTTCCTCATCTGTAAAATGAAAAGTTTGGACTGGATATGAGAACTATTGCCTTTTAGGAGCCAAGCAGATGACAAAGCATTGGAGTGAAGGAGTCAGTGGAAGACACTTGGGAAAGGTGAGGCTTATGGCCAAACTGGACAGTTTATGCTTTTTCTAAAAACATTCCAATTTCTTTTTTGCTTACTTCCTTTATTCTTCTCCCTTCCTCCCCCTCTTTTTCCAAAAAGA